CCCTCACCGTCTCCTCAGGGAGTTCTCCCTGGCCTTTCCCTTGCAGGGTGCTCCATTTCTCAGTGCTCCCCACCAAACCTCAATACCTCCCCCATTTGATTGGATTTTTTCCCTCTGAAGTGTAAACAACAACCTACCACGGTTGTTCAATAATAAGCCCTCAAGGAGTGGAAGACTTTATCTTTTTCTCTCACAATTTTTGAAGTTCTTGGGTTTTGCTTGGCTTAGCTAAATTCAGTACACATGGCATCTTTCCAACTTTGCAGCCACAGGTACTATTTTTTAAAAACCGATTCCTCTACTACCAGCACAAGGAAAACAGGAAGATTCCGTTAAATGTACATGGTGCACCTACCTGGGCTCTTTGAGGAGGCAGTTCCCCAGAGAGTAAGTTGAGGCCAAGCCACAGAGCACCACAGGGACTCAAAGGATGAGAGCCAGAGGAGACTGTGGATGCTCACTCACTGATGATCAAAGCCAGAGATGGGGCGAATAAGAAGACCACAGGCCCACAAATGAATGTGCAGGACTCCAGGTTCCAGACATGGTCACCCATTTGTCCTGTGTATTATTAGCATTTACTGTAGGGTGGATATGAACGTGAAAGAGCTAAAATACCATCCAGTCTTTCTCCACCTGAACCACAGAATACAAATATATTTAGAACAGCTATTTCCCTAAGTCTCCCAAGAATGGTACATAATTAGTACCATTCTAGATGCAAAGGAAAGAAGTTAATTCATGGCATGCAAAGGATGTGTTAAGTCAGTGGTTTCCAACACTAGTCAGTATCAACCACCCCCCAAGGGCTTGTTAAAACACAGATTGCTGGAGCCCACCATCATAGTTTCTGATCCAGCTGATATAGTGTGGAGCCTGAAGAAAACGTGCATTTCTAACAAGCTTCCAGGCATTGCTGGGCTACTCATCTGGGACCACAGTTGGAGAACTAGCACCTTAAGACAATAGGGAATAATTCCCTTGGAGATTCTGGTTGCTAAAGGTTGAACTGCACTAAATCATGTGTAGTTTCTCTTCCATGCATATCAGTGTTCTGACTTACGATTTCAGTGCCATCCCTTCTATACCGAAGGTTCTGAGTATGACATTTAGAAGCCATTATGAAATTTTAAGCAGAACTGAGCAATATGTAGACCTTGCCCTTGATATTGATTTTTAATTCTTTCCTCCAAAGTGCATTTATCAAACTTAACACCATAATAGCAGAATAGATGGTCCATAACTGAAAATAAAGTGGCTCTGAAACATAACCGAACTGTGGATATTATACCACACCGGTATGCTGATTAGCCAATCAATTTTAATTGACCTCCAGTAATGTACTTGGGACACATGACTTGTCACAGCACAAATGCATAGGACACCTTTTCTACCACAATCCAGTAGGAAAAAGAGATGAGGAGTATACAAATACCTCCAACAGTGGAGGAGCATTTTAATGGCACTAACCAAAAAGGCTATATGAGTTTGTAAGGGCAAATACAAATTCAAAAAAATTGTTTTAAGTCTCTCTAGTATATAAAAAAAAGGAAGAGACTTCCCACTTCCCTTTTCTTAGGGCATTTACTTTAGAAAATTTGTATTTCTAAATTCTTTTTCTGCCTCTTCGCGACATATATAAATCTTTATAAAAGCTAAATAAGCCTCTTGACAGTTTTACAACCCAGAAATGTTTTTCTTGAGGATTTGGGAGCCGTCTCTTTAAAAGATGCCTGGGTGGCTCAGTCAAACATCTGCCTTTGGCTCAGGTCATGATCCAGGGTCCTGAGATTGAGACCCACATTGGGCTCCCTGCTCAGTGGGGAGCCCGCTTCTCCCTCTGCCTGCCGCTCCCCCTGCTTGTGCTCACTCTCTCTTTCTCAGTCTGACAAATAAATAAAATCTTTAAAAAATAATAAAATAAAATGTAATTGAAGAAGATATCACCCCTATCTCCCAGTTTTCATGGTAGGGTAGGATCCTAACTTTGACAGGGCACCTGACTCCAAGTTGCAAAATTACCTCTTGCGGTAAAGATACGAAAGTTTTTTTTTCTTTGGACCAAGGCAGTTAGCAAACACAGATAGCCACCCAATTACCAGATGAATTCAGGATGGACTATGTGTGACAAAAGGCACTGTCAAGGCTTCTTTCTTGAGAACTAGTTCTTTATCTTCAGAACATGCGTGCAGTGGCTTATACCTGGTTGGCTGTACAAAAGGTGAGATTTCTTTCTGTCTTTGCAACTGGATAGCAGATGGCCTGTGATGCCCATCACAGTCTGGTTCAATAACCAAACTGTTTTCTTTTCTTCCTATATTTATTGGAGAGGAATTTCTGCACTGGCAGGAGATTTTTTTTTATTATTCTTAATTATATTTCCTCCAAAGTTCAGGGTGCAGAAATAACATTTCTGACAAGATAAAGGTCAGATGGGAGAAGGACTCCTAAGGGAGAGACCTGGAAGATGGGGTAGGATGTTGATTGGAGAGAAGAGGTAAGAGAGCATTTCAGGCAGAGCACATGATCCCAGCAAGGGCTAAAATGGTACAATGCAAAAATGTTCAAGGAAGGGTGGGGAAATCAACTTAACTAGACTGAAGGACTGCTCACTTGAGAAACAGACTTAGAAGAATGGGTCCTGAGTACAATGCCAAAGCATCTGTCTCCTCTCAGAGCTTGCAATCAAAGCATACAGGATTAACAGGACTCCCCAAAGCAACCAAGTATCAAGTGAAGATAAACAACTCAACACAAACTTCGTCAAAGAAATCAAAGAAAACTGTTTTTCAGTGGGAATGGCCCAGTCTTAGAATTTCATTTAGAAAGCTAAAGAAGCTTTCAGGTCCCATTTATCAGTGTTTTAATCCCAATAATTTAGTCAACAAATTTTTACATAATATCCACTTTGTGCTAGGTACTGAGCCAAGTACTGAAAAGATGGAAATAAATAAAAGAAAAATGGTTTCTGCATTCAGAGAGCTTATAGACTATTGGGTAAGTACTAATGTAATACTTAGATTTATTAACCTCTTTGCTGTTAGGCATTGTGCTAGGCACCTAACCCGACTCCCGACTCCTTTTTTGGGGGGTCCCTTAGGATCAGGACCCTGGACCATAACCTGAGCCAAAGGCAGATGTTTAACTGATATAACCATTCATAGATGCGGAAACAGCCTCAGAGAGTTTAAACTGCTCAGGCTTATGTAGTCTGAAATGCAAGGTATGATTACAAATGCAGTTCTTTTGAGTTCAGAAGGCCAAGTGCTTTGTAGGGCTGCCAAGTGCTCAAAGCACACATTCCGGCCCTGTTCTCAACCTCAGCAGGCAACAAGTCAGTCCTTTATTAAGCTTATCAGCTATAGGTTTCTTGTAGATGCCCTTTATCAATTTGAGGAAGTTCCCTACTATTTCTAGTTCACTGAAAGTTTGTATCATTAAAGGATGTTGAATTTGGGGTGCCTGGGTGGCTCACTTGGTTAAGTGGCTGCCTTTAGCTCAGGTCATGATCCCAGAGTCCTGGGATCCAGCCCCACATCGGGCTCCCTGCTCAGCGGGGAGTCTGTTTCTCCCTCTCCCTCTCCCGCTACCGCACCCCCTTGTGCTCTCTCACTCTCTGTGAAATAAATAAAAAATAAAATCTTTAAAAAAAAAGGGGATGTTGAATTTTGTCAAATGCTTCATCATCTGTTAAAATGATCAGATGATGTTTTAGTGTATTCTGTTAATATAGTGATTTACATTGATTCATTGCAAATGTTAAATCAACCTTACATTCCTAGGATAAACTCTAATTGGTCATGACATATCTTCCTTCTTGTTGGATTCCATTTGCTTTTTATTTTTTACTAAAGTATAACTGACATAGGAGATCATATTTGTTTCAGGTATACCATATAATGATTCAATATTTGTATATATTACAAAATGATCACCACAATAAGCACATACATAGTTGCAAAAAATTTATTTTTCTTGTGATGAGAACTTTTAAGATCTCTCATAGCAACTTCCAAATATGCAAGACGGTATTATCAACTACAGTCACCATGCTGTAGATCATGTCCCCATGACTTACTTATTTTATTCCTGGAAGTTTGTACTTTTGATCCCCTTTGCCCATTAGCTAATATTTTGTTAGTGATTTTTATATCTATAATTATGAGAGATAATGATCATTAGTTTTCTTGTAATTTCTTTGAATGTTTTGATATAAAAATAATGCTAGCATCTTAGAATAAGTTGTGAAGTGATCACTTCTATTTTCTGAAAAAATTTGTATAAGGTAAGTTTTTTCTTCATGAAATTTTTCATAGACCACCATTGAAACCATTGGGACATAGATTTGTCTCAGTGAGATAGTTTTTGACAATAAATTTGATCTTTAATACATATAATAGGGTTATTGAGATTTTCTGTTTTTTCTTTTGTCATTTTTGGTAAGTTGTATTTTCCAAGAAATTTGTCCGTTTTGTCTAAGTTTTTTTAACATGTTGGCAAAAAAAATAAAAAGATGCTCATAATATTTTCTTATTATCCTTTTAATTTTTGAAGGATCTGTAGTTGATAATCCCTCCTCATCCCTGCCACTAGTGATTTGTGTTCTCTCTCTTTTTTTCATCAGTCTCATTATAAGTTCGGCAATTTTGTGGATCTCTTCAAAGGACCAGCTTCTAGATTTGTTAATTTTCTCTATTGTATGTTCTCTTTCAATGACGTACTCTCTTCTCTTTATAATTTCCCTCCTTCTACTAACTTTATTCTTACTCTGCTCTTCTTTTCCTAGTTTCTTAACATGGGATCTTAGTCCTTGATTTTAAATCTTTCTTCTTTCCTAATATAAGTATATAAATCTATACATTCCTTCTCAAGACTGCTTTCTCTGCTTCTTATAAGCTTTGGCATGTTGTATTCATTGTCATTCAGTTCAAAATATTTTCTAATTTCCTTTGTGATTTTGTCTTCGGCCCATGATTCATTTAGAAATATGGGTATTTCATGTGCTCACTTCAGCAGCACATATACTAAAATTGGAACAACACCAAGAAGATTAACTTGGCCCCTGCAGAAGGATGACATGCAAATTCATGAAGCATTACGTGTTAAAAAAAAAAAAAGAGGGGCCCCTGGGTGGCTCAGTTGGTTAGGCGACTGCCTTCAGCTCACGTCATGATCCTGGAGTCCTGGGATCAAGTCCTGCATCGGGCTCCCTGCTCGGCAGGGAATCTGCTCCTCCCTCTGATCCTCCTCCCTCTCATGCTCTCTGTCTCTCATTCTTTCTCTCTCAAATAAATAAATAAAATCTTTAAAAAAAAAAGAAATATGCTATTTAATTTCCATGGTTTTTCTGGATCTCTTTTTATTATTATTTTTAAATTTTTTATTAACATATAATGTATTATTTGTTTCAGGGTACAGGTCTGTGATTCATCAGTCTTACACAATTCACAGCGCTCACCATAGCACATACCCTCCCCAATATCCATCACCCAGCCACCCCATCCCTCCCACCCCCCTCCACTCCAGCAACCCTCAGTTTGTTTCCTGAGATTAAGAGTCTCTTATGGTTTGTCTCCCTCTCTGGTTTCACCTTGTTTCATTTTTCCTTCCCTTCCCCTATGATCCTCTGTCTTGTTTCTCAAATTCCTCATATCAGTGAGATCATATGATAATTGTCTTTCTCTGGCTGACTTATTTTGTTTAGCATAACACCCTCTAGTTACTAATTTCAGTTTAATTCTATTGTGGTCAAAGAATACACTCTGTATGATGTAAGACCTATTAAATTTATTGAGACTTGTTTTGTGGCCCAGCAGGTGATCTGTCATCATGAATACACCATGAGCATATGTAAAGAATGCGTAGTCTACAGTTGTTGGATGTAGTGTTCTATAAACATCAATCACATCAAAGGGGTCAACGGTGTTGTTCAGATATTCTGGGGCTCTCCTGAATTATTTTGTCCAGTTGTTCTATCAAATCCTGGAAGAGGAGTGTTATTTGTAAAATACTGTAAATGTGGAATTATCTATTTCTTCCTTTCATTCTGTCAATGTTCGCTACATGTATTTTGAGATTCTGTTGTTAAAGACATATGTACTTATAATTGTGTCTTTCTGATGAACTGTTCCTTTTATCATTATGAAATATCCCTTTTGTTTCTGGTAACATTCCTGTCTTGAAGTCTATTCTATGTAATATTTAAAATAATGATTTCATTCTTCTTGTGCATACAGTTTGCATTTTGTGTCTTTTTCTTTTAATCTGTATATGTCTTTATATTCAGAGTGTGCATCTTCAGGAAGAATATAGTGTCTTGCTTTTTATCCACTCTGTTTATATCTGTCTTATAATTAGAGTGATTATACATTAACATTTAATATAACAATTAATTTGTTTGGATTTAGGCTCCCATTGTATTATCAGTTTTTCTCGGTCTAATTTTTCTTTATTTTTTTAAATATCATTTCCACTTTCTTGCCTTCTCTTTGATTCTTTGAATATAAATTTAGCATTTCATTCTAACTCATCAGTTGGCTTTGGCTGAATTTCTTTTTCTAAGCAGCTACTCAAGGGATTACAAAAAACAGACCTCGCCTGGGCTCTGAGATTCTCCCCATACTATCTGGCCCACAGAAAAAAAACACTTTTTTTGGTTCCTGGCCAGAAAGACAAGGTTTCCTGCAGTGATTTAGCTGTCAGTGCTACTGTGACCATATTGCCTTTCCATGAAATGTGGCCTGCTCTTAAAACAAAGAGGAACAACAACAACAAAAAAGTTAAACACAAATACAACACTATGTAACCACCACATGATTTAATTCCTCTCCAAAACCTGCATTCTTTTGTTCACCTTTCAGATCTCAAGGTGTTGTCTTTGTATTTCGTACAAACCGTTTCATGAGAACAGGCTGTAGGAGTTTTTTAGCACCAGAGCAGAACCAGAGCTCTTTCTTTAGCCTTGGATTTGTTCAATTAACTGGAATGCATAACAGAAATTTTCTTAAGAAAGGAAGAGTAACTATTACTTTTCGGAGTTTTTGCTGATCGCAGGATATCTCTGACTTTTGAGCACCCAAAACATTTGACAAAGTATAGAATTTTTACATCATCTTATTTCCCCCTTAGAAGATGGTTGATATTATTCCATTGTCTTCTGTGATTAAATATCATGGGGGAATAATCTGAAGCCTGCTTCACGTTTTTGTTTTTACACTTAATGCTCCTTTTCAACCTGGATACTTACAATTTATTTTTTAATTTTTTTCTTCCTCTTTTGATATTAAAATTCTTGCCAGGATATTCCTACATGTTGAATATTTTGTTAACTTTACCAAGAACAAAAGAGAGCCTTCTCAAATTTTGAATTTAAGGTTTTATTTAGCTCTGGTTGGTTCTTCCTCACTGTCAGCCAATGCCATGTCCTTGTTTTTCTCATTTAATTTATTGAAACAAAATCTCTACTCTCTCTTTCCCATCTATCATCTTCCTGATCAGTTTCTTCTCTTCAGTTTTCCCCTCTGTATTCTGAAAGTGTTCCAGGTTTGTTTTCTACAACATTACAGAGTTTTCAGCCTTCGACTGTCACTGCTATAAAAATACTCTATCATATTTCAGATTTTTATGCATTATTTATGTAAGCCAGAACATTTTGCATTTCTACCCTCACTTTAATGTGTCCCTCAATCTTTGTGTTGTAGAGTTTTTTTTTTTTTTTGTCTTTTTTAGTCTTTTAGGAAAGAAACTAATAACTGATTTCTAAAATGTTCTTTGGGGCATCAGTTGGTTAAGTGTCTGACTCTTCTTTTTTTAAAGATTTATTTATTTATTTGAAAGAGAGAGTACAAGGGGGGGGGGGGGGAGGATCAGAGGCAGAGGTAGAAGAAGGGAAGGGAAGCAGACTCCCAGCTGAGCATGGAACCCAGTAAAGGGCTTGATCTTAGGACCCTGAGATCATGACCTGAGCCAAAACCAAGAGTCAGAGGTTTAATGGACTAAGCCACCCAGGCACCCCTAAGCATCCTACTCATTTTTTTTTTAAGATTTTGAGAGAGAGAGAGAGAGCACTAGCGGGGGACGGGGGCAGGTGGGTAGACATAGGAGAAGAAGGCTCCCCACTGAGAAAGGAACCAGACATGGGGCTCAATACAAGGACTCCAGGATCATGACCTGAGCAGAAGGCAGATGCTTAACTGACTACACCACCCAGGCGCCCCAATGTCCCACTCTTGATTTCAGCCCAGGTCATAATCTCAGGGTCATGGGATCAAGGACTGCATTGGACTCCACCCTCAGTGCGGAGTCTGCTTGAGATTCTCTCTTTCCATCTCCCTCTGTCCCTTCCCCACCTCTAAAATGAATAAATCTTAAAAAATAAATAAAAATTAAATATAAAAAATTAAAAAATAAAATGTTCTTTTTTTGTGAAAAAAATCATTTTCAGATATTTGCTCTTCTCATAATCATCAACAGAGCATTTGTTGTACCTATGCTGCATTCTTTGTATAGTATCCATAGAGTTTTTCTGTTTACTTACTTCAAATAGAGAGACCTCTACTTAGAATTTGGCGACAATGTGGGATGTCCTTAGCTCTTCTCACTGTCCTCTCCAGTGCTGGCACCTCCTCATCTCAGACCTAGATAAGAATGTCAGGTAAACCTGGACAGCTACTAATTTAATTAGTAGAGTCTAACAGTATTCATTTAGCATGAGTCTGCTGTCCTGAGACTGGCTGTTCACTTGATCCAACAGCTGGAGATCTCTACGGCTAATTCAGATGTTTACAGCTTTTGTTCCGGTGAACTGTAGTACATGGAGCATTAAATCCTAAATGAGCACTGCTCCCCAGAACCCTGCCTGTCTCTGCAACTGTTTGGTGAATTTCTTCAATGACAAAGAATCCTAGGATACAATGAACCTCTGCCCATCTTCTACTCCTATCGTATTTGTGGCTAGGAATATTAATTTCTCAGTGAATAGAGAAAAAAAGGATCAGGAGTCTGAGTTTTGGAGTAAAACTCACTGTTTTCCAGTGAACTCCTGTGTCCCAGATTTAGGAGGCATCACTTAAAGTCTTCCTCAATTCTCTGAGGGGCTCCGAACTGTCTGTTTGCATAAGGTGGACAAGAAGGTGAGTGATCTAAGATGATGCTCCTTGAACATCTTAAAATGGTGTGTTCTGAAGAAATTCCACTCCAACTCTGACATCTTTTATCTTCATTTTCCAGTGTGCTTGCTAGTTTTTATCTTTTTCTATTTCTTTAAAGCTATTTTAATAAGAAGTTGGGAGGAGAAATATCAGGTCTGGCTGGCTGGTCTATCACCATAGCAACCCAGAGCCCTCTGTAATTGTCTTCTGAACACCCTGCTTATTTGGTATGATTATGTCGATGACTATCTATGTCACTGGTAAAAATAAAGCTGTCAGTGTGACAACTTTCCTAAGTCAAAGAATATTCCACCCTGAGGCTGGATAAAGCTCTGATCCTCTAGGTGAGCTGACACTCAAGGGCAGAAGTGTTTGCTGTGGGCACACGCATTCATGAAGAGCTCCTGCCTCTACGATTTCTGCTCTCCTCCTCCCCTATAGCTCCGCTGACTCTCCCTGGAAAGAGCCAGGCAAACTTACAGTTCCTTTGAATTTGGATATATTTGAGACAGAACACTGAAAAATTAGACTCCAAAGACAAGCAGCTAAGTTTACAGTTCATTTATCCTTCCTTAGCTCCTTACCAGAACTGCTAAAATTGATACATTTATCTTGAGAACCTGTTTAGACCCCTACACAGACTAATTCATTTTACTATCTTCTCTCTTTTTTCCTCCAATATTTTATTATAAAAATGTTCAAACATTCAGGAGAGTTGAAGGAATTCTACAGTGAATTTTACACTATACCCTCATCTAGGCTTTACCATTAACATTTTACTCTATTTGTTTTAACATGCTTATCCATCCTTTTACCCATCCATCCACTTATTCATCTTATTTTCTGGACACATTTCAAAGTTACAGACATCAGTACACTTCCCCCTAAATACTTCAGCCAATGTGCCACTAACTAAAGTTGAATATTTGTTTATGCTTTTGTCCTTTTGATACAAAAT